TTATGAATGCTGATAGTTTTTCTGAAGCCGAACATGATATGGAAACTTTAAGCAAAGTACAAGTTGAATTAGCAGGCTATTGTACATCGGATGCTGTAATTCAGAAAAGCTCAGAGCTAACAAAAAAGTTAGCCGATATAGTTAAAACGATTTTGGAACGAAATGAATTTAACGATGTTAGCCAATATTTTATCAATCCACCGAAAGACTTTATAGCTAAATTAAAAATGGTTGCTTCACATGGGCGTGCTAAATTTATACAAGCACATAACTCGATGGTAGGAAAAATCAGACAAGCTTTTAGTTTAGCTATTGAAGCAGCTCGTAAAGCCCCTTTTAGTGAGCGTTCTATGCGAATTCGTTCATTGAACTATGCATGAATCTTTTTGCCCGACAATTTACAAATTCAACATAAATCACAAATCGATGAGTTGAGCAAGTTAATTACCGATGAAGAAAGAATATGCACCCAGGCAGAGCTGGGCAAGTCAAGTCTAGTTAAATCAAGTATACTAAAAAATTTTCCCAAGCCTAATGAAGCTAAGTCAGACTTGACTTGACTTGTGACTTGAAAAACACCTGGCTTGCCAAAACCCTGTATCCAGGATCTCGATACGGCATTTTCTAGTGCAAGTGACAATGAACATAGTATCTTAAAATTAAAAGCTCTAGTCCAACGTTTCAAAGAAAAAAAGATGCATGATCTTTTTCAATCACTCCATCAACGATGCCTTAAGCAATTAGAACCGCATCGAATGAATTTATAGAAACATTTAGATGAACAAAAAACAGAATCTTTCATCGATGACATCAAGATAATATCAAAATATGAAGAAATTCTCGGTTCTTTTTTCCTGAAATAGAAAAAAATAGTGATAGTGCTCGCTTGTTAACAATTAAAAAATTTTCAACTTTTTGTGATACTCTTAAAAATATATCTATGATTGAACAAACAGAAATAATCACAAAAGTTCTCAATGATATGTTGATTCTGCCTAATTTTTCAAATACTTTAGATGAGAGAGTCCAAGCATTTTTTCCGAAGGAAACCTTGGAAAATCTTGACGAAACATTTTATGTCGTCTATCAGTACTTTCAAAAAAATTCTGAAAAATTTACTACTGCATTTGATGATATGAATATTGAAGAACTGCATAAAGTTATGTTAATATCGAAGAAATGGCAACCATTTGTAGAGAAAATTAATCAATGTCACGTAAGCCATAATTTATTCCAAAATTCTTTTAGCCCAGATGAAACCTATAATTCGATACGAAGAAATGATTTCTAAACTTGAAAAACAGATAAATGTTCTAAAGAGTTACATAGATGTTGAATTCATAACCGATGAAACAACAAAATTTGAAGGTAAACGTGAAGAATTATTTAAGAATCTTATGAATGCATACAGCATATCAGGAAAAATAAATTCAAAATTCAGAGATATTTTATCATCACCAGTTGGTTTAGAAATATTGGAGCAACAGGTTATAGAGAAAGTTGAGAAAATTAAGAAGGTACTATTAGCTAAAGCATATACAATGGACCTTTTGGCTAAAGATGCTGATGATTTTCGTATATATTATAATCACCTCTTATCATTTGGAAAATATGTACATCTATCAAAAATCGACATTCAACAAACTTTAGATGAGTCGCAAGACAAAATTATTGTAGAAGTAGATTTACTAAGTCAACAAATCACAAAATCCATATCAGACACCGAAAGAGTTTCTCAAGCCTTAGTTAAAATGAAATTTCTTGCAGAAAATTTATCAATGTTTGAGAAAAATATTAATGATAAAATTGACATGGCAATTAAATCTTACATAAAAATCGAAGGTCCTAATGGTATTATGGGTCTTAGTATAGAGTTAGAAAAAAACCGATGAAGGTGCTCGATTAATCAACGAACACTCGACTTTAAGTGGAGAAGATTGGAAAAAGAGCCGAGACAAAATGCAAAAACAGGACGATTTTGATTATGTACTAGAAAGATTAAGGGGTGATGATTTAGCTAAAAATATTTTGCGTTTACGATATAAAATTTACAGAGAAAAATACGATGAATTACTATCTACTTTTTTAAAAGTACTTAAACAACAGAAAGAAAATCAAGAGCCAGATTTAGCAGTTTTGGTAACGGAAACTAAACTTCTCGTTGATACAGTAAAACATACATTGGATTCTGTTAGTTGGACTGGATCTTTTTGAGACTCTATTCCTGAACTTTTGGCTCATATTTTTGCTATATGGACTTTGAAAAATACTCAGCATTATAATATGATGCGAGGTATTGATAAAAATTATGCTTACTTATTGATGCCACATGTTGGACAAGTCATTGCTATTTTCCGTCTGCTTTGTCTTGGCTATGAAAAAAGCAAGACAATTTCAATAATTAACTTGACTTATAAAAAAAATTAGTTTCAGATGATTTAGTGAATAATTTAGTAGAAATAGGCACAGGTGAAAGTAAATCAGTGGTCATGGCGGTAACTGCTTGTGCTTTTGCTTTGCCTGGAGTTGATGTTAATTGCTCATGTTATAGTGAAGTTTTGAGTATACGAGATAAGAATGATTTCATTTCACTTTTTCGAACACTTGAAATAGAAGATTGAATCGAATATGGTACTTTTAATAAGCTATGTGAACAATTATTAAATGAGCAATGCAATGTTCGAGAAAAAGTGCGTAATATGATCATGAAAAATGAGAGCGCTCTGTCAGCAGTCAAACAATCAACACGTGCTAATCCAAACTTATTGTTGATTGATGAAATTAATGTTTTACTTAGTGATAAATATTATGGTGGAATGTACATACCATCAGTTTATCTTAAGGATCATTCTATAAAAGCATTACTAGATTCTATATGGCAGAGTAAGACAGTGATATCCTTAAATAAAGTAAAAGCTCTACCAGCATATACAACCTGTGATACTAAATATAGCAATTGGATATTTTTTTTTGATGAAGCTATAAAAGATATGTTAACTGCTTTGCAATCATATCAATCATCAACATATATTGTTCAGAAGGATAGAATTGTCTATGTCGAAGGTGAATCTTTAGTAGATAATATGGTTCGTGAATATGAAACGATATATGCATAATATCATGAAAATGCTAACGGTAATATTAGTCAGAATAGTTTAGAAGAAAATGTTGGTATTCTTATCGATTGTGGAACATTTTTATATGCTGAAATGCCTCATGATTTTGCATATATTGGTGATGTAACAGGTACTTTAAAAACACTTGCAAATGTAGAAAAACAAATTGTAGAAAAAGTTTATGGAATTAATAAAGCAACAATTATGCCATCAGTGTTTGGAAGTTGTAATCGTAATTATAATCCAGAAAATGATGTCCGTGTTGTAGATGAGAATGAATATTTTATGTATATTCTTGGAGAAATTAATCCGATACGTAATGCAAAACATGCGATCCTCGTTTTTTTCAATCAGAAGAAAAATTAATGACATTTTCCAATTCTCCAGATTTATCTTCTATAAAATCAGATGTACAAATTATAACGGAAAAGGTATCTGCTAAAGAAAGAGAATTATGCATGAAACATGCAGCAACCATCGGTAAAATAACATTGATAACTCGAATATTCAGTCGAGGAACTGATTTCATTTGTCGTAATCAAAATTTATTAGCTAATGGTGGTATTCATGTTGTTCAAATGTTTTCTTTTTCTGAGGAATTATCCGAAGAATATCAAATTATGGGTAGAGGTGCACGACAGGGAGATCAAGGTTCTTACAGAATGATATTATTAGATAATGATTTGGAATGGATACTTGGTTCTTTGTGGGAAACAGAAATTCCGAAAATAATGGATAATTTGCTTTACAAAACCTTGAATGGAGCTCGTACTAAACTTGATGAGAGTAAGTGTAGTGCTAAGGAGCTTGATATCGCACAATGTAGAACTGAGCATAAAGCTTCCAAAGAATTTCTGAATGCACTGACTTCAGAAAATATCGAACAGGTGAAACTGTTTTTGAAGAAACGAAATGAAGGAATAAACTCAATAACAGCTTCGTCACGTACCGTTTTGCTTATGGATGCAACAGATTCTATGTCAAATTTATTATCTGCTACCAAAGAAACCGTCTGTACGGTGTTTGAACGTGCTTCGACTATTCTAACAGAAAAAGGATTACCTAATGATGCATTTCAAATGCAGTTTGCTGTGTATCGAAATTATAATTGTAAAGAAAATGAAATTTTGCAAGTTTCTCCTTGGACCATAAAATGTAGTAGCTTAAGAGAAATTATGAACAGTATTCGTTCTTGTGGTGGATGGAGATGTGAAGCTATTGAGATCGGTTTATCGCATGCAGTTCAAGAAAGTGAGATTCCAGAGTCGATCTCTCAAGTCATTTTAATTGGAGATGCACCAGCAAACACTCAAGCAGATGTTAGTAGCAAACGAGCACATTTTGGTGAACCATACCGGCAGAACACTAGATTTAGTACGCCAACATACTATGCTACTGAATTACAAAAATTGAAAAATAAAAAATTCCCATCCATGCATTTTACCTCACTTCAGCAGCAGCAGAAAATTTCGAAGAATTTGCGAGTGAGACATCTGGCTGTTGCGAAAAACTAGATATTAATTCGTCTCAAGGTGCTGCCTTGTTGACTGATTTTGTAACGGAAGAAGTTCTGAGAAAAATAGCCGATGATCAAGGAGATACTGCAGTAGAACTTTATAGAAAGAAGTACGTAAAAAGTATTGCATCCTAAATCGGTTGTTTTCGCATAAAGATTATGAATTTTCTCTTATGTTGAACTAAATAACACATTAATAAAGATCGCATAACTTATTTTATCATTTCAAACTGCGAAATTTTCGAAATTTAAAAGGCTTAACTATTTATTGTCACTCACTATTTACTATTGTTTCCTTTTTTCTTTTATATTATATATCATATTGATTGGTAAATTTTATTTGTAAGTTCTTTTTTCTATTCTTCATTTGCATTAACATGTATTTCTTACTCAACTTTATTTTACATTTTATTTTGCTATTTAATGTAATCGCGAAGTTTGTTGTTTTTTGAAATAAACTGAACAGATTCAAAAATTTGTAATAATCTTAATGGCGGGTTTGATGATGAATGAACAGTGTTTATTTTCTTTTATAAAACTTAAATCCACATTTATTGAATGAATTGCGTGTGGGTGTGACTGAGAAGAAGATCCACACTCACACCCACCCTCGAACAAAAGAACCATAGTTTATTCACATGGTTCAATGCAATAACACAATATATGATCCCTACCTATAAAAATAATAGCCCGAAACCTTTATTTGACAGTATCAAAAAACAAAGATCGATGTCTGTTTTGTACACCACTAAGCTGTATTATGATAATGCAAGACCAAACACAACCAAGGATACTGAAACATTCCTTCTGGAAGAAGAAGTGACTGTAATATCTCTTTCATTTGACTTTCCCAACTTGACATCATCTGACCTTTGATTATTTGAAACGATAATTAGACAGTTATGCTGATTCCAAACTCTTACAACAAGTTATAACTAAGAAGATTCATGCCATACCACATGATGAGTTTGATCGAATGAAATTTTGCACAGTAAATAAGGGTGAGTACTTTAAATATTTAATGAAATAAGATTGTCGAAAACATTATCTATTCAATAAAAAAAAAATCGATGTGCGAAAAAATTTTCCATAATTCTTTGTCAATATGGTTGTGTGATACTCAAATAATTTCTCTTTATTTATGTCAGATTTTTATTGTATTTTCATACTCTATAACAGTTTTCTTGAAAAACAATCGTTCTCTTTTTTTTTTGACCATTCATGTTTATGATTGTAAACGCGATTAATTCAAAAAAAAATTCATAATCATAAGAATAATTTCATTAAATCATGGGAAAATCATTTTGTCGTCGTGAACGTATACGGCATATTGGACATAATCTACGTAAAATAATATTAAATTTATGTCGAAAAAATTTACTAAATATATAAAATAATATTGGGTTAAAAGCTGTTGACGATAAAACTAATAATATTGATATAATAAAAAATAGACGATTTTCATATAAATGATGTAATCGACTTATTTTTGTATAAATAAAATTAATCTGTGCTGGTGAAAATGCAATAAAATATAATATTGTAACAAGTAATAACATGATAATAGCTCGTTTACGTGCTGTATCACCAATTTTAGTTGTTGAATTTGGTATTGGCATCATATTAGTTTGTGAACGTGGTGTCATCATTGCCATTAAACTTAGATTATTATCAGTTAATGGTGCTGGAAGTGATGAGCTCGTTTTTGTTCCTGAATATTGTCGATGAGAATCACTTATTGAACATTGTAATTGTTCAGCACGAAAATGTGCTTGTACAGCACGATCAACCAAAAAAATCTTACGACAAATAAGTATATAAAGTATTGCCTAAAATAGAAAATTAAATATTTATAAACATAGTTCGTCAATAGATTCATAGTCTTTCGATATGAACAGAAGAACGATTGAAAGTAATTGTATCTCTTAATTTAGACTATTATAATTTACTTTTTTTCGATAAAAGATAATCTAGTGCGAAATTACAGACTATACTTCATTGCATGATACATATTTTGTTGTACACTACCACATACGTTTCATCTGAAGTATAAGAAAGAGAAGCTGTTAGTGCAATTCCTGTGAGATTAAAATATGAAATACGATGTAACTGCTGTTGTTAATTACAGAAAGATTGTTTTATTCTGTGTATCTTGGGACACATTTCTTCATCCTTCTTTCACTTAATCCTACAGAAATACTGTCTACAATTGTATGTGAACAAGGTTCATCACGGTCTGTGTGGAAGAGGGTACAAATTTCTACCCTATATACTTCAATACTCCTTTTAGGCAGTTTTTCAAAACATACTCATTTATATGGAGGGTTAGCCATAATATACATTAATACCATAAAGAATAACACATTTGCGACGTACACTGCTGGCTTCCTCTCTCTTGATAATGAATAAAAAGTTTTAGAAACTAGCAACGAAAGATTTGTTGTTATAATTGGATTATCACTTCGAATGGCTTCCTTAAACGAATGCCAAATGGTATTGTCTAAAAGTGATATTTATTTAATATAGGCGATATTCGTCCAGTGTAGATATATACAAAGGAACAGACGAGAGGAATACAGAGAAGATAAATATAGAACCGAACACAAGCTTAGTATTTGTTTGAACTTCGAGCCACGACGTAAAAAAATATGCACCAACTTAAAGCTGTAGTTTTTTTTTCCAGAATTTCTATTACTATGTCATTACTGTGTTTTATTAGTCAGATAGACAGGTTTATGAAAATGAACTTATATCCATCAATATGTACAAACAAATATGAAACGATAAAAATTCGATGTACTCTTACTGCAGATAATAATGAAAAAAACGTATCATCTTGTATTCTGATGTATTTTTTGTTGTTTAAATTCTACTTTATTATTTATGACTATGCAACGAACTCTGTACTTTCTTGCAATATAGCCATTATGAAAAAAAAATAAATTACAATAGTCTAACATAAGCAATACAATAGGAAGAAATTCAATTGAGATGTACTGTATTTTAAAAATTCTAGCTTTAATGTTTCATATGGTCTCTTTATATTTTTAATCTGAGTTCTTTATTAAGATTCACTTCAACTGATAATATATAATATTAAAACTTCTCAGATGTTTTCTCTTATTACACATGCTATTTCATTCACACCTGGTTGTCTCTATTCATAAAACATCCATTAGATAAATTTATGTCTGAAATCTAGACTTTAATAAAAGTAAAAAGAAACTCTTATGTTATTTCCGGATTACTTTCTGCACTTAAAATAGAAAAAAAAGATCAATATAATATATATATATATATAACTTATTGATTTCTTTGATAAATTATTAACTTACTTGTACAAATATGGGTATAAAAAAGAAAAGTATTGATTCAGTATATTTATAAAATAAAGCAAGATATGGATGTGTTTCATGATCAGATAAACCACATACATAATATTCTGAACGATTAGTAAGTGGATGTAATGAAAGTAAAACTAAATTTGGTGATGCCATTATGATTCCAATAGACCATATTAAAATAAATATTAATAACAGACGTCTACGTCGATTAGAATGAGAAATTTTTACAGCATGAATTATTGCAATATATCTAAAAATATCATTATAAAATAAAAGAAAATTCTTTTCTTTTTTTTGTTTAATTTGTGAAATCTAACCTTTCAATACTAATAATAAGTAATGTTTGTACACTAACATAACAACCAAGTACTTGTGAAAAACGTATTATTTTACATAAAGATAAACCAAGATACCAAGCTGTTGGCCATGAACGATCAAATGAAAATTGTATTATATCAAATATATTAAAACCAAGAATAATTAAATCAGCACATGACATATTAACAAGAAGAAGATTTGTTGATGAACGACGAATTTTAATATGATTTGTTAAAACAGATAATAAAACAAGTGTATTACCAATTAAACCAATAAGAACAATAATTATGAATAAAATAATAAGAAATATTCGAAACCATTCTGATGGTTTATCATTAAAATTCAGCATAGTACTCTGATTCATTAGTGATTATTTTTTTGTTGTTGTCTTAATCTATATGTAGTGATAATTAGCAAGATGGTTAGAATAAGTCAATCAAATAGTGAGTGTTGAAAAAAAAAGAGGAAACAGGAAACAATCATCCGTAATTGTGACGAAGAACAAACCAAAACTAATGAAAAAAGAAAGAAAGAAAATGAGAGTAAAATGATGACGATGTCTCTTCAGAACCGATCGGATTTCTCGTATGTAGTGTCGCGTATGTTTGACAACATGTTTACAAAAAGAAAAAGCAGCAGCTTATGAAGATCATTATGAATATGAACAATAGTCTTCTTTTCTTGCGTGACGATTTTAAGAGACAAAAAGAATTCTTAAAGAATAAAGAAAAGCTGCATCTTGTCAAGTGTATTTTTTATTTACTGACATCTTTTGTATCTCCTAATTATTAATTTATTTTAATATCTATTGTCATAATTTACCTTTACAAATAGAATAAATAATATAAATAACTATATTAAATAATAAATTTTATTGAATTGATGATATATTAAAAACTAAAATGAAAGATGAAAAAAAAAAAGAAATCATAAATAATCTTTCATTTAAAATTACCTTTTGTTCTTTTACTTCTATAAATAAGATAAGCTAATATAACTAGTAATGTAATCACAAAAATGAATATAAAACTAATTGGGTGGTATCGACTTCCTTGAAAAAACAAATAATTTCAGAAGAGAGAAAAAAACCGAAAACAAAAATTAACTGATCAAACGCTTATATTACATTCTTCGAAGGACAAAAAAAAATATCTGTCATTTGAAAGAATCACAAAAGAATATAGATGAGAGTAAATTACCATAATGTATTTGACACTCTTGTCTCATTACAGAATGAACAAAGAAAGAAAATAAGATAAAGCTAATATACGAACCTTGAAGAAACTTATCAGATTTTTTGAATATTGTTGCTTGTGTTGTTGACAATGTCACAAAT